GCATTAATTATTTTTATATAATAAATATAAATAGTAAACATTATTTATAACAATAGATACAGAAGATATTATCTCTCATAACTATTCGTAGTCTTCATTTTTATTAAGACTGTTTTATCCTTTAAAACTTTCATAAAAAATAATTTTTTTTTATTTTATCTAAATTTTTATTTTTAAGTTTTAGTCTTTTAACTCCTTAAAATAATTGTAATTATATTTTTATTACAAATTATTTTTTTTATTACTCATAATTTTTCTCTTTTTTCATCTCTTACTTTCATCTCAACATAAGACCTTTATTTTTCTTTACATTGTTAATATACAATTGTTCTCATTTTTTTCTTTCAAAAATTAATAGAGATATAAAATGTCTCAACCTTACTAATAAAAATATAATAATATTGAAGTTGTTAGATTAGTTAGATTGATAGTTGAACAAAAAATACATTAAGTTGAGTTAATTAAGTATGATTCTTAATGAGTAACTAATTTATTGGGAAGGGGAGTTGATTTAAATTGATCAATATTTATTTATTTTATTTTTATTTAATTTAAAAAAAAAATGATACCAGACCTCTGAAACATGTTGTTTTTAGGCCATTTTTTTTAATAAAAAATTTTTGACCCATAGGGTTGAACCATTTTTATACTATGAATAAGTCTTGCTTAATAATGAATAATTATTATGTTCTAATAATGTTCATGTGCCCGATTAAAGTTCATAGATTTCCATTCTCATAATTTTGTTTTAATTTAATATTTAGCACATATTTTATACATACAGATGATTACAACTCGAAGAAAGTACTGTTTCTGGTTATTATTTTTCTTTAATAAAGTATTTTTTTTCATTGGGAGACTCGTTGAATAAATTTATTTAACGAGAAATATTTAAGCATGCACCACTCTTTGAAATAGTGTGTTTAAATTTAATTGTTATAAAATATGAGTTATTTTTTATTTATTATATATTATATTTTGGTCTTATATCTAATTAATATAAGTTTTTTCTGATACATGTTATTGTTTTAAAATAAGAGTTAATCACTTATATACTGTCAGTGTAAAAGTTTTTTATACTGGCAACCAATCATATATTTGAATAGTGTCATGTTATTTACTTATTTAATCAAATAAAAATAAAATAAAATAAATTGAAAGATATAATTAGTTACTAATATAAAAAAGTATAATGATTAACTCTTAAAATAATTAAGTATGATAGTTCTTCCATCTTTGATTTATAAAGAAAATCATGTAATTTTGAGAAGTAATCAACTTGCAATAAAAAGGGTGCTAACCACGTAACATAAACGACTACGATAATATAACTTGTCTTTACAAGTTGCATTATATTGTAAGGGAAATTTTTTGAAAAAATAATACCCTTTTAAAAGGTATTATTTGAAATAACACGTGCACCTACCTTTAATTTTTTCAAGTTTAAGATTTTGAATTTGACTTCTAATTCAACAATAAGATTGAGATTTACCATATGCTCATTCGATTAGTTTGAATATGACTTATTTAAAATAAAAAAGATGCATTTAAAAGAAGAGAAAAAGAAAATATGTATTAACAATTTTTATACTATTATCTAATTATTAACCCTCATATTGGATATCCATCAAACACTAAAAAAAAACTTGTAAAATTATAATAGTTTGTAATGAAAGTTATTAATTCAAACACTAAAAAAACTTTTGCGAACGATTAGGGTTTGTTTGTTTAATTTTTTAAACAAAATAAATAATTTTATATTTTTATGTATTGTTTAAACTATTTTTTAAAATATAGTTTTTCCCTCATTTTTCTTAAATACATTCTATCTTATTATCCAAAAAAGAAATACTTTCTATCTATTTCTTCGTTTTTTTTAGAAAAATTACTTTTTAAAAATTGTTTCTTATTTTATTTAAAAAAAAACTTAAATATATTATACAAATTAATTTATCACGGATTTTTTCAACAAACACTATGATTATTATCAAGTGCAATAGTTCGTTATTGTCACTATACTTAATAAAATCACCAACTTATCAACGAAACAACTAAAAATACTTAAGGTTTTATACTTGTAATACTTGAATATATACATTATAATATATATATATATATATATATATATATATATATATATGTATATACATATATAAAATGATTATAATAATATCGGTGTAATTTTTATTAAGTATTAATTTTATATTAAATGTCAATTTTGTATATCTAACCGTTAGGTTGAAAATTATTTACTCTTATATCATATATACAAAATTTTATATTAATCCAATATGATTTGATACTTCATTCTTATAAAATAAATTTGACGTAATATATTCATTTTAAAATATACTAAAATATGAACACTTTGATTACCTTCAAGTTACTATTTAATTTTAACAAAATTTAATATAAACATAAAGTGATATGAACTTTCATTCTAATGGTTAGATTTACAAAATTCACATTTAATATTAAGTTATTAAGTGATGTAATACTAAATAAAAGTTATACCGATATTATTATAATCTTCAGCATATATATGACAATATATTTACAGTAATCCAATAAATAAGAAAAAAATAGTAATCCAATAACATACTATTGTATAAATTTAAATATTCATACAAATATATAATAATATATTTACAGTAATTTAATAAATAAATAAAAATAGTCCAATATCACTATGACCAAATATTATATCTTATATGACCAACTTTTTAGGATTATACTTGTAATAATAAAATTTTAAATTTTAAAATACTACTTTTTTTTATAAATATTTTACTTAATTATTATCTTAGATCACATTGTTTTGTTTATACTGAGACCTGATTAAATGGGAAAAAACTGAGAAAGTATCATTTTCTAATTATAATTATACAGATGACGAATAAATGAATTTAAGACGAAAAAAGAAAAAAGAAACTATAAAAATATTACTATTAATTTAATTTAGTTTTTCAATAAATTTAAAGCAAGTTTTTTTTATGCCTGACTAAATATCGGCACGAAAGATTTCATTTTCAGACCAAAGAAGAACAAAACTTACCCACATGCAGGTACGAATTCCCTTTTATCAACTGTATTATATTATCATTGTTTTTAATTCTACAATTTATTAGAAATAATAAATTTATAAATTTTGCCGTGATTTTTTTAATATAAATCTTGCATCTTATTTAATATTTTTTTTTTAATAATTTAGTGATAGGATTACAAAAATTTGTTATTTTTAATTAATGGTAGAAAGTATGAGTGTAAAAATGTTCACATATTTACTTTATAAGTAATTATAAACTGAAATATACTTTTAGTCTATCAAATTTAAGATAAATTTATTTTTAATCTTTTAAATTAAAAATTATTTTTTTAATCTTGTATTTTTTTTTAAAAATATTATTTTAATATCTCATATTGTAAGTAACATAATTAATAGATAATTATATATAATCAACAAAATTTAATGTGATACTTTTAACAATAAGAACATTGGTAAGTAGATTTTGTTAACAATATCTAAAATATTTATTAATGGTATTTCATCAAAGAAAATAATATATATATATATTTTTAATTATAAAAGACTAAAAGATATTTTTTAAAAATTTGAGAGAAAAAAATAGATTTACCTTTTAGTTAAGGGATTAAAAAATATATTTAAGACATAATTTTAAAAGTTTGTGTAACTAAAACACTCTTCAATTTTAGCCTATATTTTAATTTTTTTAACTATAATATTAATTAAAAAAAATATTCATCACATTCATAAAAGATCATAAACACACGTAAAATAAATATTTTTATCTTGAGATAATATATTCCATGAACCAAAATTTGAACCACATAAGTATATCATTTTCTCAGTCAGTAAAAAATGTATATTATTTTGATTTATATTCAATAAATTTTATACAAATAGAATATATATATTTTTGGTTAAACATCAATAGTTTGTAAGGAAATTACAAACCAAAAATAACAATTGAGGACTGAGATTCATATAATTGATTGACACATTGAATTATCACTTTTTTGTATCCATATGAAACATTAAAAACAGGAATTAGCGTCTATGCACATAAAAGGCCTATTGCATCAGCTAGGATAACCGAGTTGTATAATTATAGATAGGATATATACAATAATAGGATGGGTGCATGATGTTTAAATTTGAAAATGTCCAATTTACAAGTTATTTATTTAAAAATAATTATTGTAAAATTTTCAATTCTAATGCATCGCCGAAAGAGTAAACCTTAGTACTTTAGTTTCTAAATTAAACCAAATTAAAAATAATTTAAAGCCTTAAAATTTTATTTATTTATTTATTTTAGTGAAGTGATTTAAGTAATATAACATGAAAATACAATTTAAATTATGAAATGAGTGATTTACTCTTTTAAATTTTGAAAAATGGATCCTCTGACTTTACATAGAGAAAGTTATGGTAACTTAATATATTTAAACTGTTGGATTTATAATAATATATCAGATTATGACACGTGTACATTTAAGTCAAAGTATATATTGTACACGTGTCACAATCTGATTTATTTTTATAAATCTAACAGTTTAAATGCATTAAGTTACCACAACTTTAATGTTTAAAAATTAGAGACTTTGAATCCTAAATTTTGATCCTCTTGCACACACCAAAAAGAATTATGGATCTAAATATAAAAAGAGTTAATCACCTATATATTATCAGTATAAAATATTTTTACACCGATAATTAATTATATTTTTTGATTACATCATATTATTATAAATATATTTATTTTTAACAGTGATATAATACAATTAAAAAATATAATTAATTATCAATATAATTTTTTTTTAAACTGATATATAGGTAATTAACTCACGTAAAAATAGGAGAAATAACCGTGTAAAAAAATTGAACGTATAGTGTTGTTGTTGTATGATAGTGTGCATTTGAAAGAAGAAAGAAAGGTTCAGTTCTCGAAATTCCCGTAAACAAGAAGAAGCGAACATAAACCTTGTCATTAACAACACAACACACATTTTGATTTCAAATCTCTGTTCATTCCACTTCACGAGGTTGCACGCCAACCACCTCTTTATCACTCACTCTCCAGGCTCCACATAACACACTGTCACTGTCACACACCCCTTTCCTTTGCATGGCATCAAGAAGACCCAAGTGGCGCCACCACCCTCCTCCTCCTCCCACCCCCAGGATCCTCCACTTCCCTCGCCGGAGACCCTCTTTCCGGAGAGACCCCAAGACCAATAATAACAATGTTAATAGGCTGGGGACTCTGATTGACCGAGAAAGACGCGCACGTGTTCCGATAGTGCTGTTGAACAACGGTGGCGAGGGTGAGGGGAGGAGGGAGAGAGTTGAAAGCATGAGCGAGACTGACCATGGCTGGGCCTTCGAGGAAGAGAAGTGGAAGTTTCAAGCCGAAATGTTGAGAGCTGAATGTAACTTGTTGAGAATGGAGAAGGAGATTGCCGTTAAGAAGTTGCAGAGGACTCGCGTTAAGATGGAGAAGACTCTAAGATCTGCACTTCACACTCTTGTTTCTGTTAGTCTCCCTCTTCTCTCTTCATTACTCCACTTTTCTTTATTATCTTCATTTTAACGTTCACTACTCCATTCAAATAAAAATACTAAATCTCCAAGATCCCACATGAATGATCAGAATAGAGTATATAAGCTGGGAGGACACTTATCTGATCACGCTTAACATATTTAGTCTTAGGCATGAAGGGTGTGTTACAAATCTCCCAAGGACTAGCCCATTGTATTGTATAGGGCTAAGTTAGATCAAACCCACTTTTCTAAGAATATGATCAAGGCCATTTGAGAGGTGTTTCTAAATTTGGCTCCAAGGAATCTCTTGTTTCAATTTTGTTGTAATATTTAAGGTTTATTGTCCAAACTTTTGAAAGTATGATGGATGCTTTGTTTTTATGGGAACATCTTTTTTCTCTGATTTTGTGAACAAATTGAATTATTTTATGAATTTGGTGGGCAAATTGCACTAGTCTTTTGTGATTTCATTTCTTATGATTTGCACGTTCTGCTGTTTTTAACTGGCAAAGTGGAATGCAGGGAAGAATCAAGATTTGTGAAGGAAAGAAAGTGGATATGGTTTTGGATGAAGAGATTCATGAGTTGACTGAGAAGCTTCAGAGATTGTATAAGAGGTCGAAAGTTAAAGATTCAGGGGCAAAGAATAACAGAAATTTTGACAAGCAAGTTTCTGTTCTGCAGAGGCGACTGGAGAAGATTGGAGGATCATCGGATGAGATATATTTGAAGGAGTTTCAAGAGATGGAAAACATAAGTTTGTCAATTAAAAGGAGTGGCAGAATTGAAGATAACGTTGTGGCAAGTGGAAAACTAAATGTGAGTAAGAAAGTACCTTTTCGTTTCGCTCTCAACCCATGTTTTGAGTTTTGATTACTCTTTTATCTTCGGATTTTCTTGGGCTCCATTTATATATATTTTAGTAAAATTGCATTTCAAAGAGTTGATGTTAAAAGAATTCATTTCTGTTTGAGAATGATATTTTGGTGTTTTCTTCTCAAGGATATTATTATTAAAACTTTCAGGTGGAGATTCTGAGGAGGAAAATGGAGGGATTGTCAAAGGGGATATTATTACAGAGAATGGAGGAAGAGTATAATTCTCTGCTGTCCACTGCTAGTAGTTCTCTTACCAGTTCTGGTTCAAATGCTAAGAGAGTCGAGTTTCAAGATCCATCTTCCGTACGAGTACCTCATCAGGTATATCCTTGATTTCTTTGCTCATACATAACTAGTTGATAGTAGGCTGTTGTCAACAATTAGTGTATTATGTTACATACACAATGTTGGCTACGGTGAAGCTAAAAAAAATATGATATAATTACCGAATGATCAACCTTTTTTCATGTAAAACACTATATTTTGAGTGTTGACTAACTGAATTAAGCAAATGGTTTTTTACCAAACTGCAGGAAAAATTGTCTTGTGAAGGGAATGCTTGTTCGGGACATTGCAAGACAGTTGTACGAAGAATTGTAGAGCAAGTTAGAGCAGAGACTGAGCAGTGGTCCCAAATGCAGGAGATGCTAGGTAAGGTCAGGGAAGAGATGGAGGAATTGCAGGCTTCTCGAGATTTTTGGGAAGATCGTGCCCGCCATTCTGATTTTCAAATTCAATCCCTGCACAATACAGTAAGATACACTTCATTGTTTCCAATTGTTCTATATTTTTCCGGTTTCAGATTACCTTTATTTATTATTGTTTCTCACAACATGTTTAGATACAAGTTTAAAAAAGCTTTTGTGACACTTTCTTCTAATTATTGTTTCTCACTGACCACCATATTTTTGTTTATTAACTTCTTTTCTAAAGTATAGGCGTGGCTAGTTGTCTTATTTGACAACTATAAATGTTTGGACTTTATAATCAATGTTTCCATGTTTTTCATCTGATGATCCCTATCTTTCTCTTAGAATCCAAATTTGAAAGAGAAAATCTGGTGGAAACCATAAACTACCATAAATAGCCATTAAAATATTATATTTTTTTTGGTGAGAAAGAAATTGGTAGTTATTATTACGCCTATATTAAGTTATTGTTTGGATACAAACATGAATGAGCTTCTGAGAGATTCTCTGTTGGAAAATAATTTTTTATTTTTAGTAGAAAAATCTTGAAAAAGTCTTTTAAGTTTGTATCTAACCAGACTTTACTCAACTTGACTCGTTAATTCATGTGATTTTGTAAGGTCAGCATTAGTGCTCTTGACAATGTTTAAAATGTGATTGATGGCATTTCTAGTGAATCACTTTGGCCTTGTGTAAGGATCTCAATCTTGGCACTAAACTTGCGTTTTCTTTCACAGGTGCATGAATGGAAAGAAAAAGCTCTTTCATCTGAAAGTAAAACAAACGAACTTGAAGCAGAACTCTCCATACTCCGAGGTGATCTTGAAAAATTGAAGAAGGAACAGAATGCAGTTAAGGGGACCAAATGTTCAGCCGTTCCAATAGACACACACAATGAGTTGGAGAAGCGAATAGTGGTTTGTTGCTCAAAGGAAAACAATAACATCACAGAAAATAGCAAGAAGCATGATGATGTTTTAAAGAACGGGGAAAGAAAAGCACATGGGGGTAGAGGTGGATTCTTAGCCCCAAAACGATCACCACTTGGAGAAATTGGGAATGGCAAAGCAGTTTTCCCTTTGCGGTGCCATCTTTCTTCTGAGAAAATTCACTAACTCATCATCATCACTTGAATGTAGTGGGCCGATTGGTTCAAACATTAAATTACATATCCTAACATCAAATGAACCAATCATGGGGTTTCATGTTTTAAGCTTTGAAGTTTGAGATCTTTCATGTAATATGTACTATATGCCAAGAGAGAATAAGCCCAGCATTTTCAACGTCCCAGATTCATGTAACTGGGGATTTCTTTTTTTCTTATCAAATTTACAATTTTTCTTGAGTAATCTAATTTGACATTTAAAACAAACTTTTAATATACAGATTATTAATGTAAAACTCTGATTTTAATTAAAAAATAATACTAAAATTGTGCTTTTTATAAATCCTCATAGGTTTGTTACCCGGGTACCAAACCCGAAGAGGCAGTGGTACCTACTTGCTCCAACATCATGGACGATCAGTTTGCAACCATTGCACCAATGCACCATTTAATAATATAAGTGTTTTTTTTATGAATATATTTATCAATTCAATATATAAAGAAATGTCTCGGTGTCCTTTTTTTTTTTT